TGTCTCTCTCTCACTGACTGTGTGTGTCTCTCTCTCTCTCTCTCACTGACTGTGTGTGTCTGTCTGTGTGTAGGGCTGGCCGTGCTGGGTGAGCCGATGAGGGGTTCGGTTGCCCATGCCGCTGTTGCTCTGAAGAAGAAGTTGTACATTTCTGGGGGCTACGGCGGAGTGCTCCTGCCCTCGATGGTGACACTCCGTGTCCCACTGGATCCCTGCCTGATCTTCTCCAGCCCCGGGGAGTGTAACAGCAGCAGCTGTGTCTGGTATCGCTCTCTCCACAACAGCAGCTGCCTGTCTGCGGATGAAGCCGAGAGGTGAGGATCAGCAACTGCTCACTCGCTCTGCGGATCCTGTGCGAGGAGATCACCCAATCCCTAACCAATAGGGTCACCTGATTCAGAACTGGATCCTGAACCAGAGGGTCCTCCAGACCAAAGGCACCGCCACATCCCAACTCATCCAGAGGCAGCAGATCCCAATGCAGCTGGTAGGGGCTGTCTGATCCCACACTGGCCCTTAATGGGCATCAGGTCCCATGCTTAAAGCGACCACCCGATCCCGGCTGAAACCGGCAGATTCCAGTTGCCTTGGGGTTTCACCAGATCCCAGCCTAGACAGACCAACAAATGGCCGTCCTGGGGGATCCATCAGGTGCCGGTCTGACCAGGAGAGAGTAGCACATCCCAGCCTAGAGAGTCCTGCAGATCCCAGTCTGGGGATCCAGCAGGTCCCAGTATTTAATGAGCATCCCCTCCCTGCCCCCCAGCTTGCCCACACCTGGTGTGGTGGTGTTCCCACTCACTCCTGAAGTGGTTTCATTGTGGTTTGACAGTTTTGTGTAGTTTTGGAGATGTGTCAGCGGTACCAGGCTCCTGCCAGTGAACTCTTCCCTGTTTACAGGTACGGGTTCGAGGCAGCCAGCTCTCTGTGTGACCCCCTGGCCAGGCTCGCCGAGGACTGTCGCAGGCTCAGAACCTGCAGCGAGTGTCTCGCCCGACACCCCAGGGTCATTGGACAAATGCAGCAGCTGGTGAGTACGTTACAGAGGCTCAGTTAGAGCCAACCCCAGGGCGAAGGGGATCCCTGTCTGACACACGAGAGAGGGAGAGCTGTGTGAGCCTCTGCCTTCAGTGTAACACACTCACACTCACTCACGCACACTCACTTAAAGAGTCATGCAGCACAGAAACTGACTCTTTGGGCCAACAAAGTTTCCCAAACTAATCTAGCCCCCACTTGCCTGTGTTTGGTTCATAAACCTTTCCTATTCATGTACTTGTCCAGATGCCTTTTAAATGTTGTAACTGTGCCTGCATCTACCACTTCCTCCAGCAGTTGATTCCACAGGCTCCTTTTTAAATCTTGCCCCTCTCACCTTAAAAGTTTGCTGTCTCATTTTAAACTCACCTCCCCCCGCCCAGGGAAAAGACTCTGCCATTCACCTTATCTATGCCCCTCATAATTTTATAAAGCTCAATGAGGCCACCCTTCAGTCTCCTACGCTCCAGGGGAAAAAAGTCCCAGCCTCTCCTTATAACTCAAACCCTCCATTTCTGGCAACATTCCGGTAAATCCTTTCTGACCCCTCTCCAATTTAATAATATCTTCCCTATAACTAGGCGACCAGACCTGGACACAGTGCTCCAGAGGGGGCCTCACCAATGTCCTGTACAACCTCAACATTATGTCCCCAAGTCATTTACTCAATGGTCTGTGCAGTGAAGGCAAATGCCTTTTTAACCACCCTGTCTATATTTGACACAAACTTCAAAAAACTGTGTACCTCAGCCCCTAATTCTCTATGTTCTACAACACTCCCCAGACCCCCACAATTAACTGTATTAGTCCTGCCCTTGTCTGTTTTACAAAATGCAACACCGCGTATTTATCTAAATTAAACTCAATCTGCAACTCCTCAGCCCATTGACCCATTTGATCAAGACCTCTTTGTAATCTTAGAAATCTTCTTCACTGTCTACTTTGCCACCAATTTTTGGTGGCACAGATCCCTGTGGAACACCACTGGTGACAGGCCTCCACCCTGAAAAGTAACCCTCCACCATCACTCTCTGTGTCCTGCCGTTAAGCCAATTTTGTATCCAATTGGCAAGCTCATCCTGGATCCCATGTGATCTGACCTAATTAGTCAGTCTACCAGGGGGAACTCTGTCAAAGGCCACTCCCTCATTCCATCTCCCTCACTCCGTATTCCTCCCTCACTTTGTCTCCTTCCCTCCCTCACTCTGTCTCCCACTCCATCTCTCCGTCTCCCTCCATCTCCCACTCACCTACTGCCTCTGAAATTCTCTCCCCTCACCCTTACCCCCAAACTTACTTCATCCTCTTTCTCCCTCCGCGCTCTCATTGACATGATCCCCTGAAACATTTACAATGAGAGGGCATACAGACAGAAGGAGTGAGATAGGTGGTGGAAGAGACAGAAAGGGGTGCAGGCAGAGAAATTTATATACTCATTCTCTCTCTCGCTCGCTCCCACTCTCCCTGTCTCGGCTCCCACTCTCCCTGTCTCGCTCCCTCTCTCTCTCTCTCGCTCCCGCTCCCTCTCTCTCGCTCCCACTCTCGCTCCCTCTCTCTCGCTCCCACTCTCTCGCTCCCACTCTCTCTCTGTCTCTCTTGCTTCCACTGTGTGTTTCTCTCTCTCTCACTGTCCCATTCTCACTCCACTCTCTCTCGCTCTCTCGCTCCCTCGCTCTCTCTCGCTCCCATTCTCTCTCTGTCTTTCTTGCTTTCACTGTCTCTCTCTGTCTCTCTCTCTCGCTCTCTCTCTCTCGCTCCCTCTCTCTCTCTCTCGCTCCCACTCTCCTTCTCTCTCACTCCCACTCTCTCTCTCTCGCTCCCACTGAATCTCTCCTTTCCACTCTCTTTCTCGCTCTCCCTCACCCTCCCTCACCCACACTCACACATTTGCTTTCACACTCACACCTCTGTAGTCACACTCACTTCAAGACTCACTGACACATTTATTTTCACACTCTCTCACTCATTTGCATCACACACTCATGTTCAGACCCACTGACAACATTTGCATACTCATACTCAGTCACATTCTCACCCACTCATGTTCACGCTGGCCCTGGCTCGAGCTTGCCCTCGAGCACATCTACTCACATTCCCACCCATTCAGTTTCATTTTCGAGCAAATACTGACGTCCAACTCTCACTTACTTACTTATTTTCAATCTTCACACTTGTATTCACACACACCTGCTTGTGTTCATTCGCACCCCCTCGCCTTCGCACCCCCTCGCCTTCGCATTCACTCGTTTTCTTAGTCATGCACACGCTCAAAATCAGATGCACTCTTACTTATTTTCACGCGCGCCCACCCCTGTTGGTATCACACGCCCGCCCTGACACTCGCCATTCACTGACCTCTGGTTGCTGTTCCACCCGCTCCCCCCACCCCTGATCTGCCCTCTCTGTGTCCTGCTCAGTCTCTGCTCTCCCCCTTCCTTCCATCCTCACACACAGCATGGCATCTCCTCTCACCCCCTCACCCCACTCCCCCCTTGCCTGGGATTCACGTGCTGTCTTCTTGCCACTTTAGAGGTGCAAATGGTGCACCAACTGCCCAGAGGGAGCTTGTATCAGCACCAACTCCAGCTGCACGAAGGAGAACGACTGCCGCATTAACCAGCGAGAGATCTTTGTCGCCGGTAACTGCTCGGAAATATCATGCGAAGCCTCAGACTGCAGCAAGTGCACAGCTTCTGGGAAGTGCATGTGGACCCGGCAGTTCAAACGCACAGGTCAGTGGGACGGCGACAGGAAATATCACAGATCCTCAGCAGCAGGCACCCACAGGGAATAGTTTTTTGTTTTATTCACCCCGGGACCTGAGCACCGCTGCCCGGGCCCAGCATTCATTGCCCATCCCTATTTGCAATGGTACCTGCACGTTGGAAGGTTTTAAATGTACAGCTTCACACACTGTACTACATCTGCCGCATCGATGCTTTTATTTAAATCACCCTGAAACCCTTTTACATCCCTCTCTCTCACTCACCCACCCACCAGGCTTTGTGTGCTCCAGACAAGGGGAAGAAAGCAACCAGGACCTCTAGCTTTATCTGAAAGGCAGACAGTTTCAGTCTGCAGTGAGGAGGAAGCTTCTCCTCTCGGGGAGGCTGGATCTCTGGAATCCTCTACTCCACAGTGGGAGGTAGTGGGAGCTCAGTCATTGAGCAGAGTCAGCTGGACAGGTCTCCAGCTCCTGACATCTGAGGGAATGGAGGCCGTGAGGGGTGAGATAAGGATGCAAGCGCCGATGCTCAGGAATGGCAGACCGAGCTGGAGGGGCTGAATGGCCTACTCCTGCGAAGCCCAGCTGCTGGATGTTTGGAAGTCCTGACCTGGGATCTGAGCAAGACCAAGCGTCGGGGAGAGGGTGGGAGCTCCATCCCCGTGGCCTGTCGCTCACCCTCGGCTCCCGCTGTTGGTGTGTTTCAGGGGAGACCCGCCGGATCCTCAGCGTGAGCCCTGCCTATGACTGGACGTGCTTCAGCCACTCTCTGCGCAATGTCTCCCCCATGCCCGTGGAATCCTGCCCTCCCGAACCATGCCCAAGACCGTGCCACAACCTCACCACCTGCAGTGCGTGCCTGAGCTCAAACGGCTCTGATGGAGGCTGGCAGCAGTGTGTCTGGAGTCTGGCTTTGCAGCAGGTAAGAGCTCAGAAAGGAGCAATTGGGCACTAGTGATCCTAACAAAACATTATTAAAGTAATTGTTGGGAGAGACACAAGGCAGCGATTGTAGTCGTAGACTGTGGGGTAAATGCGAAAAATGAGGACGTGGGAATAGAAAAGTTAGCAGAAGGGGAAAAGAAGTTAGTGTGGGGTTGCATGAAGACAGGAGAATGGAACTTGGAGCGCTTGTGCAGACATGATGGGCCAAATGATCACCCTGATGGGAAAGGGTGATCAAAGGGTTCCAACCCTGATGGGAAATAGTGATCATAGAGTCGTAGAGATATTCAGCATGGAAACAGATGCTGTGGTCCAACTTTGGACCTCTATAAGGTCACCCCTCTCAGCCATTGATGCTCCAGGGTAAATAGCCCCAACCTATTCAGCCTCTCCCTATAGCTCAAACCCTCCAACCCTGGCAACGTCCTTGTAAACATCCTTTTCTGAACCCTTTCAAGTTTCACAACATCCTTTCTAAAGCAGGGAAACCAGAATTGGACATAGTATGCCAAAAGTGGCCCTAACCAATGTCCTGTACAGCCGCAACATGACCCTCCCAACTCCTATACTCAATGAGCTGACCAATAAAGGCAAGTGTACCAAACACCACCTTTACCGCCCTGTCTACAGGCGACTCCACTTTCAAGGAACTATGAACCTTTATCCCAAGGTCTCTTTGTTCAACAACACTCCCCAGGACCTTACCATTAAATGTATAGGTCCTGCTCTGATTTGCCTTTCCAAAATGCAACACCTCACATTTATCTAGGGTGGTATTCTAGAGTCGAGTGCCTGGGTATCTTTGGGAATACGTGTGGAGAATAGAAGCAGAGGTTTGTGGGGCTGAAGGAGATGACCCTTCCTAGGGCACCATGAGATCGACAAATGGGAGGGATGCCAAGACAGAGAGAGGGGGGAAAGCCAGAGTGAACTGCGTCAACAAGAGGAACGACTGGCACTGATTCTTTGGCCACAGTGAGATTGGTACAGTTGGCAGTCCCAGGCAGGAGGGAGGTGTTAGTGGGAAAGGGAATGGCCCCCAATGTCAAAGCATCACAAATAGGTGTATTTAACCCCCTTCTCCCTCTGTCGCAACCATTCGGATTTGTTTCATTTTTAACACCCAGTTATCACACGTAACATTTAATTAAGCAAATCAAAAATGAAAGAGAGAAAGTGGAATTTTTTTTTAACCTACTCAACCTGAGAAAAATAATGAAATGAGACCTCTAACACACGCACAAACACAGGTAATAAGTTTACGAAAGCTGGGGTGGGCAAGAGTGCTTTCTACGACAGATGGGAAGGTAAAGGACAGTTGCAGATTAAAATACATAAGAGCCCTGGAACTGAGGGGTTACTCTCAGTGTTGACCAATTGCCACTGCTGAAGACAGCCAAAGTTTGCAACTGTCCTCAGGAACTCGGCAATGGTGGAATTTCAGATTGCTTTTTTGCTGGGCACTGCATCCTGAGGTTGTGAGGGAGACCCATTCAGGCAGAGAGTGTATCTTCCTGTTCTTGCTAATACTTCAAAAAGTTTGATCACGTGGGACAAAACAGAAGTTGCTGGAAAACCTCAGCAGGTCTGGCAGCATCTGTGAAGAAAAAAAATCAGAGTTAATGTTTCGGGTCTGGTGACCCTTCCTCAGAACTGGACCGGACCTGAAATGTTAACTCTGATTTTTTTTTTCCTTCATAGATGCTGCCAGACCTGCTGAGCTTTTCCAGCAACTTCTGCTTTTGTTCCTGATTTATAGCATCCACAGTTCTTACGATTTTTAGGTCACATGGGATTTTCTTTTCTTAATTAACGGGATGAGGGCATCGCTGACCAGGCAACATTTATTGCCCATCCCTAATTGCTCAGAGGGCAGTTAAGTGTCAACCACATTGCTGTGGGTCTGGAGTCACATGTAGGCCAGACCAGGTAAGGATGGCAGTTTCCTTCCCTAAAGGACATTAGTGAACCAGATGGGTTTTTCCTGATAATTGACAATGGATTCAGTCAGCATTAGATTCTTAATTCCAAATGTTTTTATTGAATTCAAATTCCACTATCTGCCGTGGTGGGATTCGAACCAGGGTCCCCAGAATGTTATCTAGGTCTCTGGGTTAACAGGCCAGCGATAATAACCACTAGGCCATTGCCTCCCCGGGAATGGTGGGTTTGAGTTATAAGGAGGGGCTGGATAGGCTGGGACTTCTTTCACTGGAGCATAGGAGGTTGAAGGTGACATTATTGAGGTTTATAAAATTACGAGGGGCATAGATAAGGTGAATGGCAGGTGTCTTTTCCCTTAGGGTGGGCGGAGTTCAAGACGGAGGGGGCTTTTTTTTTAAGGTGAGAGGAGAGAGATCTAAGAAAGATATGAGGGGCAATTTTTTACACAGTGGTTCGTGTGTGGAATGAACTTCCGGAGGAAGTGGTGGATGTGGGTACAGTTACAACATTTAAAAGATATTTTGAGAAGTACATGTATAAGAAAGGTTTGGAGGGATATGGGCCAGGAGCAGGCAGTTGGGACTAGTTTAGTTTGGGATCATGGTCAGCATGGACTGGTTGAGCTGAAGGGTCTGTTTCCGTGCTGTATGACAGTATTTTAATCCTTTGTTGTCTCTGTCCTGATGTTCAGGAGCAGATGTTGATATAGGCTCTTTGTACATTCCTCAATGTGTTTGTGCGTTTTACTGACTCATGTGAGACCCTCATCTCCAAAAGTGTGCAATTACCATAGGAGGTAGAATAAAGTATGTAACACTGATCTCTTGGCACCACCTCATGTGAGCGGTTGTTTTGAATCAGTCGGTTTGGTCTAATGCCTGGGCTTGTCAGCTGACCATGTCAGCCATTTTTAGGACAACAGCGTCCTTTCAATAAAAACCGTTTTTAGTTCAGCTCTCGGGTATACAAGGCAGACACAGTCGCAAATTGATCATCTGTTTTCACCAAGACCGTAACAGATTGCAAACCATTCTCTAGACCCCCGACCCCCTCCCAACATCCCCCTCCCAACATCCCCCTCCCAACATCCTCCCCCCTACCCCCGACCCCGTCCCAACATCCTCCCCCCTACCCCCGACCCCGTCCCAA